CTCCCTCCCCGCTTCTCCCCTCCTGCTAGTTCTTGTGCTGCAGCTGCGGCTATTTTTGTTGCTATCCCTGTTGGCTCTTTTTTCCACTAATGTTTTACCCCTTCCCCTTCCTCATTCATTCTTTCGCTCGTCCGTGTCAACATCATCTGGGCCATTCTGCAGCTGCCGCTGCCCCTCCTCTTCTTTTCATTCTTCCTCCTGCGTGCCCATGCTCTTGCACGGGGTAGCGGGGCGGCGCGGTGCCTGGGAATGGCGACGACGCAGACGCGACACGAAAAGCAAGGGTTCCGAGGATGGGCAGGGCATGGGGTGGGGTCTGGGCCTGGGTGGCGGTCTTGGGTTTGGGCCTGGGGTGCAGCTGGTGAGGCGTGGGAGCGCCTGGAGTGTCGGCTGGGGTGAGGCTGGCGTGCGGGCGTGGAGAAAGCCGGGGGCGCGCGGGCCAGGGGGGAGGCCCGTGCCGCGACAGGACGTCGACGTCGGTGACGACGGCACGAAACGAGGAGCTTATCAAGGGATCCAGGGCTGGGTGGAGCGCCTGGGGGCCTGGGTAGTGTTGGGCTCAAGGCGGGGGCTTGTGACACATGGCTCCGAGCTCCAGGCGCAATTGCATGCGACATCCGCTGGCCCTTTCGTGACCAACAGGCTGCGTGGCGTAGGTGCTCTGGTTCCCCGGGACACTTCCAGCTACTCATGGCATACGGCTCTAGATTTTCGGCTGTCCAAGTTTGACAGGATTGAACTTCGCGCGTGGACCCCAGTCCTGATCTACCCTATCAAAACCACGTTGCCGGAATTTCTCGGGGGCGCGCGAACATGGATTGGCGATCCATGTGATTTGGCGCGCGGTCGCCTAATCCATGGATCGGGGGAGGTGCCCTCCACAAAATGCGGCCGGTGCCGTTTCGTCCGGCAGCGGAAATCCGCGACGTCCAACGGAAACGGGACCCGCTGCTAATCCACGCCCCCTTGATCCATGCTCGCGATCGCCTGAATTTTTGGGGGCTCTGGGACACGTCGAATACGGCAGCTTCGCGCTCTCGGGGCCAATGCCTCGCAAGTTACTCTGGGCTCGCGCTACTGATTCGCTCCCCCCTTGGGGCCACAATTCCTTTCACGTTACCGTTAGGTCGGCCCTGTCCCTCTACAGGGGGATTTTGGATGGAAAATCAGATATACCCCAAAAAATACTCTCAAATGGTCAAAAACAAAAATCGTCCCCAGAATATGTTTGGACTATTTTTGAATATTCCTGTGGAGAGACAGGCCCGACTCAACGTTACCATGCGTTCGGGCTCCCGAGGCAACAGCCACTTGCAAACGACGATGTGTTTGCGTCTCCGATCTCATGGAGGCTGCCCCAGAGCGCCACCTACTTCTCTCCAGAGCAGAGCAGATTGTAATTTTCGGTATCGGGCCATGTCTTCGGGGGGCGCTTCTCGGCTTCACCGCCGTTTCCTCAGCAATCGGCACTGGGCACCGGGGCACGCAAGCTTCGCCGGACTCGTGTCCACGAGGCCAGAAGCCACTGTCACGTATTACCAGTGCGCGCCCCCGAGGTCGCAGCCCTGACGCATTTACGCTACACTCGTGCTCCCGCAGCCACAATCACATGGTCAATTACGGCGCACTCGCGCTTCCGATGCCACACCCTTGGCAAGTTTCGACAAATTCGCGCTCCCGGCCACAACCTCTTGTGAATCACAACGCCGAGTTCCCGAAGCCACAATGTCTGCTGTCATTTTCTCTGTTGGGATCTGTGTTCGGGGCACGGGTTCCGGCCCCCGCTCCTTTCCAGAGAATTCGGCTCTGGGCCCGAAGCCACGAATCCTAGAACATAGCCACTGCTGCGCGCTCCCGAAGCCGCGACCCGCTGTAATTTACATTTGAAGCGCGCTCCCGATGCCATCATCCCTCATACTACAGATGCGCGCCACCAGCCAGCCCGTCAACAGCCCAAATCAAATGCCAACCACTCATTTAGGCAATGCAAGCGGACCTTTGCCAGAACAACATGCTTCAAGAACATGAGACCCTCAACCGGCCAAAACATACATAACATCCAAGGGTACCCTCCCGAGGATGCACCCGACCATCCAACACATACGAAGAACACTAGGGTAGCCTCCCCGAACCGACCTCGATCGTATACCTCGGTCCGACTGTAGGCCAATCGATCGACTTGCCAACCAACCAAGCGACAATCCCATCCAACCTGCCGACTGGGCATGGCCACGCAAGCAATCTGCATGTGGGCCAGCAGCAGAGGACGAAGCCCTTCAGATCATAAGCAGAGCCCAAACTGCTCCCATCCTCCCAACGCGGCACCACCACAAGGCTTGTCGCTGGTTCTTCCATTCCACCCTCGCCGACCCCTTCACAGGGAGGAAGAAACTCACCACCACCACCACCGCCATCACCTGGGGAGTGTATGCTTTGCAAATTTGGGGGATGTAGGTGTGTAGGATGCCCCCGCGAGGGCGCCCCCAAACACATACATACACATATGTATATACACATGACCGCCGATCCTTATCCTCCCTTTGCCCCTACCTGCAGGAAGTGGTGGTGGTGATGTTCCTTGTTCCTCCCATCGCACTCCTAAGCGACTTCAGCCGCTCGAGCTGGCTGACGAACACCGTCTCTTAGTGGTGGACGGGCCCAAATGCGAAGGGCATTCTGCGCTAAGCCGCCGAAAAATCGTCATAACAATGGGGGCCCAATGTATTCAAGTGTCGCTGCTGCGCAAAGGTCGGCGCGTGTCTTGTGGGAAACCGATGTTTGGTAACGGGACTGGACCAACGCGCGACAACTTCCCTGAGCAAGCGTGGACGCCCGAATGAACATGCGAACGTGTCTCCCCCTGCATCCGCCGGCCTCCACGTTCACAAGCGATGCCACGCGAAGCGGCTTTGCCGAAACTTCGACCAACCATGTGTTCCTGTGGCCTACCGGTGATTCTAGATGTCAAAAGGTGGGCGGTGGTGGTGGTGGGGGCAGGTGTGGGCCCCGATGGCCCATCTTGGGAGACTGGTGCAAGGACTCCTCTCTGAACGGTGAAGGTGTGCAAGGCTCCTTCGCGGTGGCGGGACGGGGGATGGCCTGCTCTCGGGTGGCCGCAGCCAGTCTCCCGTGTCCTTGGCGGGCGGCCGACTGCGTGAGGATGTGGGTCATCCTGGCCCGTCGGATCCAAGGCCAGGGCGCCCGCTGGGGATGCTCGTGCGCGCGGGGGTCGGGTCCTCGATGCCGCAGACGCTCGGGGCTGCCCGTGGCCCCCGAGCCAAGCCGAACTCGGCGCTCTCCCCCTACGAGGCGCCCACCCCGACCGCCCGAACAGGATCTGGCATGGGGGGAGGAGGGGGAGCAGGAGGAGGAGGAGGAGGAGGAGGAGGAGGAGGAGGAGGAGGAGGAGGGGGAGGAGGAGGAGCCCCCGAGGCAGGCGGGTCCTGGGCCCCCGGGACCTCTTCAGGGGCAGGCCTCTGGGACGGTCTTGGGCCCGGGGGAGCGCCCAGGTGAGCACCGTCCGACCGACCCCTGCCCCCACGGGCGTGGCCCGTGCACCACTGGCCGATTGACCTCCCCAGGTGGGGATAACCAAAGGCCGTTTCCTTCGGGTCTCGATGGTTCTGTCCCCAACTGGGGTGCTGAGCCGGTGGGGGTCCTGGGCGGGGACGGGGATGCCGAAGGGGGTCGGTTCGTGAGACGATGCTGGCCAGAAGGGGCCGAATACGGAGCAAAGACACGGACTATCCCACGGTGCATGGTGGAGCTCTGGCCGACGCCTTCCGCCGGTGCCCTGCGCAGAAGTCCCCCATCCGAGAGGTGAGGGCCCTATTGTTCCTATCGTACACTTGCAGGGCTGGACCTAAACGTGTTTTTCGTTTTGTTTTCGTTTTGCTCTACCTGTTTTCCTATATCTCCCTGCCAAAACGAAAAACAAAACACAGCCGACGTCCAGCAAAACAGCGTTTTAGTTCAGCCCTGTACTTGAGGACCACATTCCAGAGACGATTCCGAGCACCCCGACAAGCATCGCAACAGTGTCTGCCCAACCGACACGCTGGCGAAGTGCCCAACGAGCATCGCCTCCCAAGGCCCGAGACGTGAACACCGCCCGGTTTCGATACTTTCCTGGTGCTCACAATTCTTTCCGGTGATCACGGCCAACGTAGGCTGGAACATCAGAAGGTGAGGGGCGAGAACCCGAGGCCCCCCCCTTCCCCCTGCGGTGCGGCGGCGCGTCCGCGGGGGGGGCGGTCCGGCAGGGCTGCCCCCACACGAGGAGAGGAGCGCCTTCCTTCCGAGGCGGGTGGGTCGCCGTGGGTCCAGAGAGCTGAAGGGGGAGGCAGGCCGCGCGAGAGGGAGGGTGGGGTGAGTGGAGTGTGTGGGGTGCGCGGCGAGATTCGGGGATTCGGATACTGCGATGATGGCGGTTACAGCGGGGCGTCCCTCCGGCGTCGGGCGGAGACTTCGACTCAGGAGCTGCCACCAAGTCTGTCGAGAGTCAAACAGGGAAGGACCTGAGCCGCTTGCGCTTGAGTTGGAGACTCGAAGAGCACGGCGAAGAAAGGAGTGAGGGGAGGAAGGGAGGAGAGGGGAGAACAAGTCGCAACACGCCTCTGGATAAATACGAATTCATCGCCAAGCATTCTTAGAAATCGCAATGGCTGTCCAAAACCACAAAAACAAGCAGCCTGGAACATCACCACGCAACATTGCCTTCATTGTCATCACATTTCTGGTGCCGCATTGGCTGAACGTGACGTGCAGGTTGTGGTTCTTAAGCAACCTGTGCAATACTTCCTCAAATAACACCGTTGGATCCCCATCACGAGGTACTGCAGTAACACATATGAAAATTCTTAGCAGACGCCTGCGTGAGAAGAATACATGCGCAGGCACGGGCGCACAGGCTTCAACTCCCAAACTGTGTTGGGCGTGGCCTTCTGTAGCACGGCAGCCAGCGCCTGCGCATAATTCTGCTGCTGCGTAGCAGCACTGCGTTAAATACTGGTCCATGGAACAACGTGGGCAAATCCGCTCGAACCCTCGGGACCGCCAGGTTGCGAACATGTATTCATAATGTCACCCCGCCAGGCCCTAAACAAGTTCAGCGAAACACGAAGCGACGGCGCAACGCTGCACATAACATGGCGCGGCACAAGACGGCACGTCTCCACCGAATCACGAACTGAACCCGCGAAACTTTCATGATATGGAACGCGGGGGCGGGAATCACACATTGGACCCACCACAAGGCAAACACACATTGAATGGCACAAGACCCGAGGGGAATGGAATCACGAGGTCGACCCACGACGCGATAAACAAAAGATGGCACACAGCACGGCATAGCATGAGCCAAGGTTGCGCCGAGGGCCATCGTAGGTGGTGCCATCGGTTTTACTTTAAGATGCGCCATAGGATGCGCCGAGGTCTGCTATGGGCTACGCTGTACGTTATGCAGAGCGCCGCTATGCGTTGCGCCATAGGTTGCGGCATAGGTTTCGCCAGGGTTTCGAAATACATTTCGCCACATGCTGCGCTGTAGGTTACGTATGGCGCGCGACACTCCGCATCACCGAGGTACGTGTTGGTCCGCTCTGGCACTCTTGTATCATGCAACATTCTAGATAACCCTTAGTGAACCATTGTTTTGTCTTACGTGGTTCGCTGTTGAAAGAACAGCCGACCTAATTTTGACAAGTGTTGAAGATACACCTTACATCTTTGGAGAGCACTTTCTTCTGTGTCCCCCCAACGGGCTCCTTCCAAAATGGCTTGTGGGAGTCTGGGCACTGTTCGCGGGGTACGTCTATGGAAGGGCGACCCCAAAGAGTTCTGAGAAACATCCATGAGGATTCGGATCCTGACATCCAGGGCCAAACGCCCCGACAAAATATGCGCGCCCTGTGGCCCCGGGCCGCGAGCTCTTGTGACAACATGCAGAGAAGGCCTGCACGTCAACTGGTGGGGGAGCCAGGCGGCGGGTTCTGGAAGCCCTGGGTACACCGACATTGCCCTCCCTTGGAGATCTGCTTTCACCTCCCTTGGCTTCCGTCGTCGTTCCGCGGGCCTTCCGCCGAAGGCGTGGTGCCGACCTCTCGATTCCCGGACGGCGAGGCCATCCTCGGGGAACGCCCTACACGACTACGCAGCACGGGGAGGCCGCGGCCCTCCACCTCGCTTCCCTCGTGGCCACCTCGGAGCTGACCGGACCCAGCCGCGGTCCCAGACATCTGGTGTATGCACTGTTCCTTCCGGGGGCTCCAGAAAAAAATCTCGACCCCTTCCCCTGGGGTACTTGCGCGCCCCGGATCCAACTTTGGCGGCCCCGGGGCCAGGAGGAGGAGGAGGAGGAGGAGGAGGAGGAGGAGGAGGAGGAGGAGAAAGAGGAAGAGGAGGAGGAGAACGAGGAGGAGGAGGAGGAGGAGGACAAACCAATCCCCCCGAAATCTGGGGTCTCAGCCAGGGGGGGGGGGGGTGGTAGCCGCGACGGCGGGAGCCCGGGCGCTCATCACCGGGGGAGCTTGTGCAGAACCTGAGCACCGGCGACGGACGGCGGCGAGCGGAGGCGACGCTGGCGGCACGAGCGGCAGCAGCGACCTCCTCAGGGCCAGCAGCAGCTGCTGCAGAGAGAGAGAGAGAGAGAGCGGCGCAGCGAACGACGCGAGGCATGGGCGCGCGCGAGAAACGATAGCAAGGGGCAGACGCCACCAGCGGGGTGGCGCGCTGCACTTTAAGGGCGGTGGTGCCCTGTAGGTCACAGCTCTTATCGAACACGGAAGGGATTCTGGCAATCCCGACTTCGTGAAATGACAACAATCGGACCCAACCTTGCGACGTTCTCCTAAGCGATGCGCGACGTCTCCTTGTGCCCAGCGTTGCGGTGACGTGCGGTAGGGAAGGTCCTTTGCTCTTGACCCAGCCCGCTAGGATTCTAGGGGGGAAGGGAGGCCAGCTCGGCGCGGTCGGAACAGGGGTGAACCTCCGCCCGCCTGCTCACGCATAAGCAACGCAATCTCATGTTGACGCTCTGATAAACAGAAATCATGAACTTTTGTTACGGGGTGCGGCAAATTCTGGTCGTGTCGTGTCGACCCTGCCGTTGGTTCCTGACACCGCGGGGATCGTTCAACGGTGAACGATCGGCCGTTTCCGAAACGTCAGATCGTTGAAATATGGACCGATTCTGGATCGCAAGCGGCACTCAACGTTGAACGCTGGCGGCGGGGTCGCCACTGGTCGACACGATACGAACATATCGTAGTATTGCTTGAGTACTGCACGAACGAGGCCTCCCTGGGCCGCCATCGCAAGACGGTCCGCTCGCGGGGCTGGGCTTAGGTCGGGCATGTCCTTCTGCAGGCGGATTGTGGAGGAAAAATGCGACATAATCAAAAGATAACCGAACATAGTCAAAAGAGCACGAAAAATCGTCACCCGACTATTTTTCAAATGTTCTTGACCATTCCTCGTGTAGAGGGACATGCCCGACTTACAGGCTGGGCCCAGACAACGCGCAGGGCTCAAAAACGGCCGCCCCAAGGCTTCGAGAGCCGGCGGAGGGATTCTGCCGAGGAGCCGCGCCTGCACAAACCAGCTCGCCGTGTGGCGCCACGCTGGCGCTGCGCCACGCCGGCGTCTGCGAAACCCCTTCCGTCCTCCTCCTCCTCCTCGAAGCTTTGAGGCTGGCGGCCTTTGTCCTCCGAGAGGCCCCGCGCACACCCGAAGCCTCGAAGCTGGCGGCCCTTGTCCTCCGAGAGGTGCAGCCGTCACCCCCACCCCGCGCACACCCTCGAGGTTGGCGGAGCGGGGTCATCAGGGGAAAGGGCTCGGTCCAGCCGTCGGTGGGGCCGACGAGCGCGACGACGGGGGGGGAGGGGAGTTCTCCTTCTCCTCTCCTCCTCCTCCTCCTCCTCCTCCTCCTCCTCCTCCTCCTCATCAGTGTTTTTTGTTGCCCGTTGCGCACAAGGTCGGCGGCACTGGCCGAAAAGCCTTCGCAACAACTCGCTGTCTCCCTCCATGCGCAATAGTCGTGCTTTTCCCACAGCCCTACGTCTGCGGGGCCGTCTAGGAGGCAACTCCCTGGGGCAATTCCCCCTGTTCCAAAAGCCACAATCCCGTTTAAACTTTCGAAAACCTAATGCAGTGTCCTTCCTAATTCGATATGTCCTTTCAACTGACTACAGTTCCAACGCCGCCCCCCCCCCCCCCCCCCCCCCCCTTCCCCAAGCAGAGCCCGCCCAACGACACAATTCCTCCTCAACCCCTCGCCCCCCCCCCTCCTCTCCAGCCCCCTCCCCCCTTACGAAAGCCACAATCATTGCCCTAAACAGACGTCCCGCAACTCCTCCCAAACAATCAACACCGTCTCATCCATGAGTTCCCCCCCGCCTTTTTTTACGAACTGGCAAAATTGGCCCCTGACTTACATGTTGTATCTGCCGCCTTTTTTGGGGCGCCCGAAGTTGGTTTCTGACTCACGTGTTCATTCGGCATGCGCCTTTTTTCGGATCTCTATGTTACGACGTCAATCACCAGTTCGTTTGGGGACACGACCCCGCCATCTAATTCACCCAGGTCCGAGGACGGAGGGGGAACTGAGGACACTCCAATTCACGCCTCGCGGCATGGTGGCGGTCCGAATGGCCTTGTGGGGCCCCCACGACGCCCCCGAGAGGCCAAATAGTTTCCAAAACTTATGGGACATGACTTTTTGGTTTCTCGCCCGTCCGCTTCCGTTGGCCTGCCGAGGCCTCGAGATGGCTCCGAGAGGGTTCAAACAAGGGGGGTCCGAGAGGGCTCCGCGCCCCCAAGAGGACCCCCTAAACACGAGCAGCATTTTTGGATTGGGACAGACTTTGCCCAATAATACTAATCATGGCCAGGGCTGGACCTAAACGTTGTGTTTCGTTTTGCTTTCGTTTTGTTTCTCGTTCTGGTCTACCTGTTTTCCTGTACCTTTCTGCCAAAACGAAGAACAAAGCACAGCCGTCCAGCCCTAGTAATGGCATGTCTTCCGCATGTTTTCTGACTCGCTTGTGTCACGTAGGCACGGTATGCAAGCTCGTTCGCCACAGGGATCGCCGAAGCTGCCCAAACTTTCACACCACCGCCTGCCTCAGCTGTCCATTCCAAGGGTGTGGACGGCCTCCTCTTTTCAGGAACCTGTCACTGCGGCGCTAATTTCTGACGGAATGTCCTCAGATGCCGTTGAGCTTTTACGTCCCCCGTAGGTGTCCCGAAACTCAGAATTATGGGCGCTTCTTGTCCGCTCTGCGTGACTCTCGGGGCGGCTCGCACGACGGTTCCCGAGGCCAGCACTCACTGAACGTCGTACGGTTTTTCCAACATTCTCGGCCCTGGCAGGGCGAACTCGAGCTACGCCAAGAAGTCCTCGAGACCGCCAAGATGTATTTAAAGGTGCCCAGGAGGCCCGGCAGGCTTCTAAGAGGCCCCCAAGAGGCCGCCAAAGGAGCCCCAAGAGGCCTCCAAGAGGCTCTTGAAGGCCCCAAGAGGCCCCCGAGAGGCCCCCGAGAGACCCAGAGATGCCTCCAAGTGCCCCCCCCCCCGAGAGGTACCCCAGGGAACGCCAAGGAGCCTCCAAGAGTAGTCTGACCAACAACTCATGCACGGTGGCTGGATGTGCCGGAACCCACTCCACAAACATTGTGTACGTGCTCGCTGTTGCTCGTTGCAAGCGTGCTGGGTGCATTCCATCCACAGAGTCAGAAGTGGATGGAAAGTATTGCTTGGCGCAGCGCAAGCAACCATGTGAGCATACGCATCGGTTGCGGTGCAGTGGAGGCATGTTCTCGCATTGTCGAAGATCCGTCGTCCCTACTGGGCACAGCTCCAGGCCCAACGGCCCCTCCAAAACGAGGAGCCAGGGTTATCCTTGAATGATGGCTTACGCAGGCGGCTAAAACTGCCCACCATGAGGACAAGCGGGCGCTGACGGGCGCCCTTCCGAGGGAAACTCGCGCACGAATACCCGCGCAATCGAATTCTTGTCCAGCGTCGCCCAAATTGGAAGAGCCCGCATTTGAAAATTGATATCGTAACTTTCACTTCCTCTGTAACATCATCCGCTGTTTCCAGCGGTGGAACGGCATTGGAAGTCCAAGATCTGCGCTGGCGGCACAATGCTCGTGAGTGCTCGTCTGCTGAAACATCAATTCCTTGTGAATCTCACGGCTGGGTTGGTGAAGCAATATGGCCTGAAAATAAGCCGGGCCCAAATCCTCAAAATAGCAATCAACAATTGTAGGATGGTGCGAGATCCTTCCATGCAACCGGTTAGAAATGCTCAGCACGCCGTCTACGTGGATGGTTTACTGCATAGCTGTGCAGAGAACAAGCCCAAGGGTACACTATGCTTAAAGGGAAGCCAGGAGGTTCTTCAAATTGCTACGCAAATGTTGGAACCGTGCCTGTATCGCTAAGTCTCGGGAGCTCCGCTTGTTTGTTGGCCAAGCTCTTACACGACTTCAGAGAACCATGGGTATGACAAGCTGTCTCTGTGACGCATCGCGGATGCAGCGCTCGCATCTTTCTGGAACTTCACACGCCGCAAGTCTCTCTCTCTCTTCCGAGAACTGACCCTCTAAGTGAGAAATTGCGTAAACCGCATGCGCACGCCTGTTGCAAATACAGTTGGCCCGTGTCATAAGGATGTGCAGGGTCTTGGACGGCCGTTTCGAAGCTTTCCGAGCGGGGCGCGGCCAACGAACGTGGCCAAGGATGGACAGAGGAGGCAAGGATGCAAAGGTACCCCTGGGAAGGCTGCCCGTCCTTACTATGCGGGTTGACTGTAGTCCACCTGACCGACGACCACTTTTTGTCAGGGCTTCGGTGTGCGAGCAAACAGGTGTCCCACGGCAGCAGCAGTTCTTGGTCCGGAGGCGCGCCCGCCCTTCTGGCTGCAGTGGGCTCAGCGTGTGTACAAATCTCACCATCGATGTCACTATTGATCTCGCTATCGATCGCACCATCGATGGTACTACCGATTTCACAATCGATCTCACTATCGATCTCACTATCGATCGCACTCTCGATCGCACGACCGATTTCACTATAGATCTCGCTGCCCATGCTGGCGAACTAAAACCGGGAGGAATCTAATATTTGACTCTCCTGCTCCCGCTCCTCCCCATCCTCTCCCGAGTCTCTTTAGTTTTTTCGTTTCAGCCTATCGCGAACGCGTGCACCGCATGACTTGTTAATGAGTTTTCTGCCCAAGTGCCATGCCAAAAGCTTGCGCATGGCTTCTTACTGACCGCCCCTACCGGTGGCGCGCTTTTCAGGCCATGCAGCGCCACGCACTTACTTAGGATACTTCGCCTGCTTTTTGCCAAGTGCGTCCGAATCATCCGTAGCCCCTCCGAATGTGTTCCAATCCATACGGAGCGTGAGCAGTTCTGAGGACGATCGAATGTCGTTAAAATGTTAGTAACCTTGTTGGCTGGCCCCTACCAAAATGTTGTTGAAACCCGTGCAGACAACGATTCGAACACTTGTCGAGACAAACCTCGGATTTCCGTCGTCCTTATCCGCCATGTTCTTGGCCACCCGAGGGATAACAAACCCGGCTGGCAAATCAGACTAGCCGAGGAACCCTCTCTCAAGGTCAGCCTCGCGGTAGATGGGTCTGCTTCAACTTCAACCATCCTCCTTGGACAACTCTAGCAAACACGTGGGGCGAACATGTTGCGCTCGCAAATGGGCCTCGGCTAGGCTCATGCTTTTCAACCTCCGGACCCCAAACACCCGACGTCGTGACATACGAGGTCGTGAACACCATTACTACGGAAACTATCGAAACAATCGACCCCATTTTCGTGTATTTTCCGAGGCCGCTCGATCCCCAAAGGTCCTTGCAATCCGCCACCTTTCCTGCACGGAGTGGGCGTGTTAGAGTGCTCGTCTGTTGCCTGGGAGTTTTTTTTTTTTACGTTTTCTAGGGCCGACCCCCCCTCCATCGCGCGCGTCCCTTTGAGATAGCCCCCACTCGAATTTGCTCTCCAGCGGTCTTCTCGGCCTCCAGACGTCCAAGATAGTCTGCAAGAGGGCGTCAGACGGACCAAGAGGCTCCCACGGGGCCCCAGGAGGCCCCGAAGAGGCCCTCAGGAGACTCCCAGAAGGCCCCCAGGAGAGCCCCCAGAAGCCTTCTTCTCCTGGTCCTCTTTTTCTTCAACTCCTCCTCCTCCTCCTTCTCCTCCACCTCCTCCTCCTCCTCACCCTCCTCCTCTTCTTCCTACCGCGCGGACGAAGACGATGTCGAGATCACGACCCTCCCCAATTCAGACCACTCGTTGAACTGCCGCGGGGTGTGAACTCGACCTCCTTCCTACCGCGGGCGAGCTCACGACCCGTTCTTATCAGACCACTCGTCGGAATTGCGCTGTTCCTACACTCAGCCTCCTTCCTGCAGCGCTGCTTGCCGCAAGCAGCTGGGTAACGTCCGTCGTGATTTATTTTGTTACGACGCCTACATGTGAGGGGAGGGTAGTGGGACACGAGGTGTCCGGCAGAAGGCCGATCGGTGGATCAATACCGCCGTTTTGGAGGCTCCCGTCGCACTCCAGTTGCTGAAGGGGCCCTGACGATACCAGGGGCCACGAACGTCTCGAACAAATGATGGAAGCGCCTGCTTACCCTCCCGAGCGCTCCCAGCCTCGGAAACACTCGAAAACGATGCCCAAGACGTCCGAAGGCAGATGGGAACCTCCGACGACCTCCGAGAAGCTCCAGTGACCTCCGACGGGCCTCACCTGTGGCGTCGCGCCAGTTGGGGTAGGCCTAAGGACGTGGCCTTCTGCGACTACGGTGGGCCCTTCGTAGAGAGGCTTCCTCGGAAGGCTTCCCGGAAAGCAGTAGGACCTCTGAAAGGACAAATACCTTCTTAACTAAAGGGGCCAATGGACACACACACACACACACATACATACATACAAATCCCAGGATTCCCCGCTTTTCTGGGTTTTCGTCTTCCCCCCCCACACTTCCTATATTTCCGAATATTTTCCTGGGAGTCGACGATTCAGTGTGTCTTTGTGTTTCTTCCCCTCACCCTCCGGGACTTCGCCCCCGGTACCAGTCCGCGGCGCACCTGCTCCTGCACATCCACTTCGGCACCGCCTGCACCCCTGGGCTTCGCCCACTCCGGCCGCCTGAGGCCCCGCCTTCCTGTGCCCTGTCTCCCTAATTAAAGCTGTGCGTAGCCCGCCTAGCTTTTAGCGGAAGAGGTTCGCTCTCGCCCCGCAGATAAAAAAATTGTGTTTCTTCCCCTCCCGACTCTGAGAGGCCAACTGTCTTCTGCACAAGGCGTCCCCCTCGCCCTGCCTCCGACTCCAAGCCGCTCCGAGCCCGTCGCCAGACCCCTCCCGGGCCTTCGAGCTGCGGCCAGCCGTGGCGACGAGAGCCCCTGGACACGGTCCGAAGCCTCCCTCCTTGAGGGGCAACGATAACGGGGGGGGAACGGCACAGGAGGGGGGGGGCGCATCGATCGATAGCGATACATCGCGTTCGACTTTGAACGATCGCTCAACCTTGAACGATCGGCGTTCAACGTTGAACGATCGTTCAAGGTTGGACGATAACAGGGGGGGGACCAGCACAGGGGGACCAGCATAGCGATGCATCGCCGATAGGTCGGCGACAGGCCCCCGATCGTGAATCCGCACGCTCCTGGGCAGGTTGGGGCCATCGGGCCTCTATCGGCGATCAGTGGGCTATTGGGGGTCGATGCATCCCCCCCTCTGCCTATCCCCCTCTATCGTCGCCCCCGATGGACGCTGTCCGAAGCCTCCCTCCTCTTAGGACCCACCCAGGCCAGCCCCTCGAGCTGCGCCCAGCAGGTGGCGACGAGAGAGCGCCTGCAACGATTTTTTGAGCCCAAGATCGGTACAGGTGTGCATATAGCCAGTGCCGTCCGAGAGCTGCGGTCGAGGGAAACAAATGTAGAAGAAACGCAAACACCACCATAAACTTTTGGCGCTCCGCGCGGATTTTTCGCATCTGCGCTGGACCCCCTCCCTGGCGCGCGGAGCGCGCCACGGGAGGCGCTGCGGGGGGGCCCCAGCGCGGATCCAAGAAATCCGCGCGGAGTTCCGAAAGTTTATGTTCATAGCGTTTTTCTTCTTCGAAAATGGTGGGCACTCCCCCTCTTCCCAAATCCAAAATCGCCACGGTCGAAGTGCAATTCATCAAAGCCACCGCCAACTCTGATCACTGGGGGAGCGATGAATGCGGCATGAGCGCTCGCCGATTTCTTCCGAGGCCTCTGCCAAAGACCTTCGAAGCGAAGACGTCGACAAACATCCTTCAGTGCCTGCGGCGGCGCCGGTCCCCCTCGGCGGCGCGCGCAGGGGGGGAGGGGGAGGGGGGAAGGCTTCTTAGAAGGAGGCTGCTTCTCAGAAGGCGCCAGCCCTACATCTACAGACAAGGCCCGCGCTTTCTAAGAACCCGGGGTGCTTCTGAGAAGCCTTCCCACCTCCCCCGACCGTGAGGTCGGGCATGTCCTCCGACGGGCGGATTTTGGAAGAAAAGTGGAACACAGACCAAGCAAATGCAGACATAGTCAGAAGTAGTCGAAACATCGTCCCCAGACTATTTTTTTGCCTATTTTTGAATGTTCCCCCCTGTAGAGGGGCATGCCCGACGGATCCCCACCGCCCTCTGCGCGTGGCTGGGCTGCCCCCCGCGAGGCGCGGACATCGCGGTGCCATCCGTCGCCCCGGTCGCCGGCCGCGGCACCCCGGCAGCCCTCCGCGGTGCGCAGCTCCTGGCGGCGGCGGCGGGCTGGGGCAGCGCCGCGGCAGTACAGCGCTTCGTGGCCCCATGGGGAGCTCCACCGAAGGCCCCAGTGGCACCGCCCGCATGCGTCACACCCACCCAGTACAACGCTGCGTGGCCCCATCGGGAGCTCCATCGAAGGCCGCAGTGGCACCGCCCGCATGCGTCACCCCCCACCGGGCGCAGCGCTTCGTGGCCCCATAGGGAGCTCCGCTGAAGGCCCCAGTGGCACCGCCCGCATGCGTCACCCCGACCCAGTGCAGCGTTTCGTGGCCCCATAGGGAGCTCAACGGGAGGCCCCAGTGGATGCACTCGCATGCGTCACCCCCGCCCAGTGCAGCGTTTCGTGGCCCCATAGGAGCTCCAACGAAGGCCCCAGTGGCGGTGTTCGTATGCGTCCCCCCACCCAGCACAGCGTTTCGTGGCCTCATGGAGAGCTGCACCGAAGGCCCCGGTGGCTGTACTCGCATGCGTTTCCCCACCCATTACATTGTTTCGTTGCCCCATAGGGAGCTCCACCGAAAGCCCCAGTGGAGGCCCCGCCCCACTGCGGCGCACGCCTCACACTTTTCGCGGGCCCGTAGCGCGGTCCGCCTAAAGCACAAGTGGCAGCGTCTACATGGCAGCCACGGCCCAAATCGGCACACCCTTCGCATGCTTCATGGCCCCGTGAGGAGATCCCCCGAAGGCGATACCCGCAACGACGGTACTCACAACTGCATATGGTTGGGCTCTTCGCCAGGATATTTTTTTTGACAAGGATGGTGAGGGGGGGCATGGTTCCTAGTTGGCCGCTGGTCGCCTGGGGTGTGTGTGTGCACTAATAGGGAACAGTGATTAGCATATGCTGATACTCGTCACTGGGCGGAGTTTGGGGGTCCTTGCGGCGGGGGGCGCCGAGTGGGGCAGAAAGGGGAATGCCTTGCGTCGGCGGTGTCGGGCTGGGGCAGCGCAGCGGGGAGGGGCTCGCAAGTCGCTGGGCAAGACTGGGATCGGGCAGTTCCAGAGGAATGAGACACGGCATGGACATAAACTTTTGGAGGTCCGCGCGGATTTCTTGTATCAGCGCTGGGCCCTCCTCCCTGGCGCGTTGAACGCGCCAAGGGGCCTAGCGCAGACCCAACAAATCCGTACGGGGCCCCAAGAATCACGCTGTCATTCGGGCCGTTCTCATGATTTACCTGGGAACCGCGCTATCACTCGACACTTCCTCGCGATTCATGCTCACGCTTCAACAGCCCGCCTGCTCGACCTGGCCGCCTGGGCCCGCATTTCCGACTCGCCCGTTAGGGTCTACCCGCCCGATCTGCCCGTCTGGTTCTGCCACGTGTTTTCTGCTCCTAGTCTCCCTCCTGCTATTCTCTCTCGTGCTCCATCCTCCTCCCTCCCTCTTCCATCCGTCCTCTCTCCCCCCTGGTTTTAAGGGTTGCGCCAAGTACGCGCGGCAAGTAAGGAAGATATACCCCCAACGGGGGTACGAGCGAAGACGAATAGGGGGGGGGAACCGCGGGTTTGGGATGTACGAGTTGAATGGCATGCGAGCAGGTAAGAGCGAGCAATCTTAATCTGATTGTTGCTGCTGCTGCTGTTGTTGTTGTTGTTGTTGTTGTTGTTGTTGTTGTTGTTGTTGTTGCTTTTGTTGTTGAACTCTCATTTCTGAAGAACAATTATTGTTGATCCCCCTTGCCCAATGTACAGTTTAGTTTTTCAATTGAAGTGCCCCTCCCGGGGCTCGCGCCCCGTTTTTGTCAGGGGAAGTCTTGAGCCTCGAATTGCGCCCCCGACCCCCGAGTTACAACAACAACGGCTCCCACCCGATACTTCCTTACAGTGTATTTTAACATCAGACTCTCGCGCGGCACGTTCTCCCAACTCATGCAGGAATTGCGCTCTCGCGTGGGACGTCCCCGCCATTTATTCAGACGCCGCGCCCTCGACACTCAGGAATCACGCTCTCGCTGTGGACTTCCTGACGATTGATTTGGGAATCGCGCTATCGCTAGAGACCTCCTCGCGATTCATGCAAGAAGCCGCTTCAGCAACTGGCCTGCTAGACCTAGTCATCTCTTCCCCTGCCTTAGGGGTTGCACGAAGTAGACGTTGCAGGTGAGAAAGATATATTCCCAAAAGAGGTACGATCGAAGACGAGGAGGGCGGGTAGCGAGGGTTTGGGATCTACGTGTTGACTGGCCCGCGAGCATATAAGAGCGAACAGTTTTAAACTGATTGTTGTTGTTGCTGCTATTGCTGCTGCTGTTGTCGTTATTGTTGGTGTTGTTGCTGTTGTTGGTGTTGCTGTTGTCGCCGTTGAAATACCATTTCTACAGAAGAATGACTGTTGATCCCCCAGTGTCCACGGTGTTTTTTTCAATTCAGGTGCTCCACCAGGGCCCACACCCTGCTTTTGACAAAAGAATGTTGCGCCGCGGATTGTGTCTGATACTTCCCCACCACTTGTTCCAAAATCGCACTCTCGCGCCAGACTTCCTCACACATTATGCGAGAATCGCGCTTTCGCGTGGTACCTCTTCGCAATTTATTCTGACGCCGCGCCCCCAACACTCAAGAATCACGCTCTCGCTCTGGCCTTTCTCACGATTTACCTTGGAATCGCGCTATCGCTCGCGACCCTATCGCGATTCTTGCAGGACTCACACTTGAGCGATCCGCCCGCTCGATCCGCCGTCTGGGACCGCCCGCCCGACCCGCCCCGCCCGTCTGGTTCTGCCGCTTGCTTGTCTGCTCCTGATCCCCCTCCGGCTCATCTCTGTCGTGCTCCATCCTTCTTTCTCCTTCCCTCCTCCCTTCCACTGTTTTAGGGGCTGCGCCAACTACATGTGGGAGGTAAGGACGATATGCCCACACTGGGGTATGATTGAAGACGTAGACGGCGGGCATCGAGAGCGTGGGACCTACATGTTGAATGACACGCGAGCAGATACGAACGATCGATTCCAAAATTATTGTGGTCGTGCTTTTTGTGTGTATGTGTGTTTGCTTGCTTGCTTGTTTGTTAATTGTTTGTCTGTGTTGTTGCGATGCAAACATATACAAACAAATAAACACGATGAAGATATCGGGCCGATGGCAATGCAGGTTAACAATCGGTGCCGATCCACTCAAGACATATAGCCTCGGCGGCGAGCACAATGCGAGTCAGACGGCGCCAGGCGAACAAGGACCGCCACACAAGCCGACCTGCAATAGGCAAACACTTTCAAAGAACCGTGGCCTTGGAGAGGAAAGCGGAACACACACACCATGAGACACCAAGACACTGGCACGCCGATCCGAGGACAGGGATACAGAATAAGAAGATGAAGGGGGGGAGAGGAGGAGGAGGAGGAGGAGGAGAAGAGAGCAGCCCGATGGCGAATGACATGTATCAGCCCTCATGGCCAGCCGAACTGTAGTGTGACAGTCCCATGTTGAACGGCCGAAGCAGCCCAGGCAATACGCTCACCACGGCAAGAGAGGGGAGCAGGAGCAGGAGGATGTTGAGGAGGAGAGAGTGCGCACCGTGGTAGCCAAAGACGGCTGTCACGCCAACGGCTGCCTAAAACCCTGGCCAATGCCAGAAGTAACAAAAATAACCGGCCACGAGAAGAGGAGGAGCGCCCGTACCGTCGAGAAGAGGAGAAAGAGGAAGAGGAGGAGGAGGAGATGGAGGATGAGGAGGAGGAAAATGAGGAATACAGCTCGAAAGATCGACCTGACACGTCGTCAATGACCACGAACGGCTGGCAGAACTCCGCACTGATGGCGGGTAGGCACGAAGCCAAATCAGAACCGTACCTTGGTGTGGGTCTTCCCAGGAGTGACATCAGGGGGAAGAAGGGAAGGTGGAGAGCGCGGGAGTTCGGGGATATAGGGAGCAAGCAGACGACTAGAGGAAACGGGGGGCTGGAGGAAGAGAGGGGGGAAACCGTCAGAGGCCCAGCCTGTCTGCCGCCTCCGTGCTTGCCACATGTCTCTCTTGCTCCCTGTGCGTTGCATGCCGACGATGCCTTCCCGTGCCTACAGCTTGGGGAAACCACAAGGTACCGATATCGCTGCTCCCAGGGCCTCTCCCCAGGTGCGCTCTGACCAGAATTTCGAGGCGAATCCAGCGGTGGCGATGAAGGCCTCACATGAGGCCCAGAACGGGGAAAACGTTGGAAGGGTAGTGGTATCGGTACCCTGACCTCTTCCGACACCTGCCTGTCGTGCACCACCGCAGTGCTCCTCCTCGGCGCGCACGTGGTCGAAGCGGTGCACGGGGACGCCGGTCCCGCCGACCTGAGGCCCCCGCCCCCCCGGGAGTTACGGGCGTCGGCGGCGTGCCGGCGCACCGCGAAAGCCACGGACGGGGTGCCCGGGCTGGGGGCGACTCTCCTCCTCGGGCAATCCACTCGGCTGCGCGCAGGAGTGGCCTAGGGGTGGGGATGACCTTTGGTGCGCGACTTTTTTTCGTGGCCGCGGGGGAGCCAAACACAAGCGCGCAAGACGCCACTATCGCATCGCGTTCGGCGATCGGGGGACCCCAATGGGCCCGCACCAACGGTCACTGCGCCGAAGGGTCACTCTCACGTGCAGTCGATGGCAACCCACGGGGGCCTCCCATGCCATCTTGCTGGCTCCTGCTAACTGGCGCCACGCGACGCTCGATCAGCGCTCCCTCGGCGATTGCCAGACAGCTTGCGCACGCCGGACGACTCTGGACCGCTTTGAACTGGCCTTGCCAAACCAATCTGTGTGACTGCAGAGCGATTGCCCCGGTCGTTCCTCGCGGCCTCGGTCGAGCCCGTGTGGTCTACCCGGCCGCCCAGCCCTCGAGCACACGGGCGGGGCACCGTCTGCAGCACTGCTGCGGCCCGTCGGCAGCACGGGCGGGAGCAGGTGTGCGGCGTGGCTCCGCCAGCGGACTGGGCACAAACAGGAGCCCCATCTCTTTCGACCCTGAGGGACAAGCCAGTGGGTGGAGTGGGGAGAGTCTGTCGGCGAGGATGGCAGCGTATCGACGATGGGGTTGCAGACATGACGGGACGAGTCGCAAATGGGAGTCTGAATGCCAACATCATACGGTGAGTCTAAAACAACACTGAGTTTACCATCATCTTGGAATATCCAGTCTCACGGGCTGTCAGGGATGTGCTTACACAACACAAGCTTCAAGGCAACAGTGTGAAAGACTGGGCGGGCATACGCACGTGTTGTTTTCCAACCTGCATGTGCATGGTAATGCATTTCGAAACGTGGATCTTTTGTGGTGGGGTCAGGTCGTCAATCCTCCCAGGTACTTCCGACCAGTGCTCAATGGAAGCGGAGAGGACTTGGCAAGATAGGGACGCCAGAAAAGAATCTCCCGCCTGCTGCTCTGGGCCTGCACGGAAGACCTTCGCGGCCGACTCCGCCGAAGCCATGAGGACGAAACCCCGGCTGCTCAAGCGCCAGCGGCGGCTGCTTTCAGGGTCCTGCCAGGAGCCGCGCGGAATCGGAGCGCAAGACCAGTGAACGTGTGGGCCAGCAAATCTCGGAAGCGCAAACATGGATTAGTGATCCATGTGATTTGGCGCGCGGTCGCCAAATCCATGGGTCGGGGGAGGTGCCCTCCCCAAAATGCGGCCAGTGCAACCTCGCTCGGCGGCGGAAATCAGCGATTTCCCATGGAAACGGGACCCGTCGCTAATCCACGCCCCCTTGATCCATGCTTGCGATCGCCTGAAAATCAGCTCGTTCATATTTTCCTTTACCACCTCGACGGACACGCGTATACCGATACATTCATCGGGCCATTAGGGGTCGCCATGCGGTGCTTCCGATCCCTGGTGCGCTCTCTTCCGTCGGCGAGGTTACATGGGCAGTTGTGTACCCTTTGGTCCCACCCGGCGCTCTCCCCTCTGGTCGCGGATGGGCCTAGCGCGACCCCAATTAGCTCCTCTGCCTCGACAAGCTAGTGACGAGCTGAATCCGACAGTAGGAACATGCGGACACTTAGAGAATGGCGAGAGCAAACTCAATGCAGCAAACACGAGCTTACACATGCTACGGCGTTGCTTTACTTTGCGTTGCTGTCTTGCCTCTCCATATTGCTCTGCGCTGCTTTGCACAAGCAGTGCAACCCAATTCCCCATGTCCTACGATGGGGTTTTTGTCATTCGTGCGACGCCTCCACCTCCTTCCTTCCTTCCTTCCTTCCTTCCTGCCTTCCCGAACCATGCGCCGCGCCCGCGCTGGATCGCCACTTCCGACCCAAATGCGCAAGGAGCTTGGGCGAGGGCAACAAGTCGCCGACTCGCGCGGACACCCCCGGAGTGGCGAGTGAACAAAAACGCGCCGCGTCGAAGCGGGAACGCCACTCTCAGGCGAAGTCGACGCGGCGCCGAGGCGAGAGCGACATTTTCGCCCGCTCGCGCGTCGACGGAAACGCGTGCGACAAGATGCACAGACGCTCGGGCTCACACTCAGACGCACTTATACTCAAACTCCTCCATACCCAAACCACTCACACTCACATGCGCTCATGCAAAGCTTAGTCGTGTTCCGACTCATTGATGTTCAGTTCACTCATACTCAGACTCACTCGCACTCAGGCTGATTCGCAATCAAGCTCAATGGTACACAGACTCACAATCACACCCACACCTACCCACTCAGACCACCCACGCTCAGCCTCACACGCACTCATACTCACTCATCCGCCATCGTGCCGCGAGGCACGAGTTGGAGCGTCCTCAGGCCCTCTGTAGTCCTCAGTCCGCGGCCCTCAAGTCAAGGATCAAGGGGCCCAGGCCCCAAATTCTCAAATTTTCCTGGGCGCGTGGCGCCTCTCCTGGGTCGCGGCGCGTCTTCACGCATGGCTTGGTCGGGCCCGAGGGAGCCCCAAAGCAGGCCAAGAGGGCACCAATAGGCCCCCAAGGCTTTCGTGTTCGAAAATCAACCAAACTCCCGGAAGGAAAATCTCGAGATTCGCCTTCCCGCGCACGCCCTTAAGCGCTCGATCGCGGTATGCGGGACACACCTCGGAACCACACCGAGAACCTGACCAACATGGCACTGCAAGTGAGCACAAACGCGAGACAACCACGAAAAAGCAGGGCCCAAGAGGGGCGAGAGGGAAGGGGGATCGGGAGAGGGGGAGCAGGGAACCGGGACGACAAACCTGCTGCTCCGAGCGGTGGTGCACCAGTAAAGCCTAAGCCCCTGAGCGGGCAGTGAAGAACGACGAGCCTGAGAAGCATGAATAGGGAAACAAACATAAAAAATCAGAGGTCCGCGCGGATTTCTCGGATCGGCGCTGGACCGCGCCAAGGGCGGTGCCAGAGGCGCCGCCGGGGGGCCCCAGCGCCGATCCGAGAAATCCGCGCGGACCTCCGAGCTTTTATGCTGATGCCATTGTTCGTTCCCCTAGTGATAACCACGAGCCTGCGAACACAGGGCGAGGCTGCAAATGAGCACGAGGCCCATCGAATCCAATGAACATCAAAGCCGGGAAGGTGTGGCCAGCCGCCCCGTAGCCGGCGCGCGGCCTGCGGGCCTCCACGCGGCCGCACTGGCGCACGCAGGATCCCATCGCCAGTGCACTGGTACGGCGACCGCCCCAGGGAGGCCGAACGCCTCGCCCCGCCACCGCGGGACTCGGGGACTCCAACTTCGGGGGGGGTCTCGGGAAATGACAATTATGAATGGGAGTCTTTATATATATATATATATATATGTATACACACCTGTAGTTATACATCCTGCATGGTGGACCCCCCCCACCGGATGCCCTCCCCCCCGAAATCCCGGGACCCCTCTCGGACGCCCTCCCTGGCCCAGGGAGGAGGAGGGAGAGGAGAGAGGAACGAGGGGAGGGCAGCTTTGATGCCCTTCGGGGGGCGGACACGAGGATCCTGAGCACAGCCTCGGACCCACCCGTAGAAAGAAAGGAGGGGGAGGAGACGTGTGGGGGGGGGGCGCAGGGAGAGGGAGGGGAGCCCCGAGTCGCCGAAGCATCGCTTCAAGCCGCTCTAGATGGCCTCCAGACTGCCCAAGGAGGCGTCCAAGACGCCCCAATAGGTCTCTAGAAGCACTCCGAGGAGGGCCCCGAGAGGCAAACATAATTGATTTCCCAATCGGTTTTCGACAGACTTTGGGGTTCTCGCTTTTTCGGTCTTCCGTAGCGCCAAGACGTCCAAAGCGGCCCCTAAAATCGCTCCACGACGGCCCAACGTGCCCCCAATACGGCCCAAGATGCATTCAAAACGGCCCAAGAGGGTCCCAAGACTGCCCCAGGAGGGGCACCGCGGACTGACTTTTCGCGCCCGTCGCCCTAAGAGAGTCCCCAAGACAATCAGCAAGCCACCAAGAGGCTCTCAAGAGGCCCCAAGAGGCTTCAGAGCGCCCCCGAAGCGACGTCAAAACTGTGTGCAAGAGGCTCCCGAGAGGCCTCCCAATGGATCCCAACAGGCAGCCCTGAGGACACTGACCCCCAACCCCAAGCATTGTGGCGGGCTGGGCCGACTGCCATTCGGATACTCATCCACACTCAGTCTCTTATGCGAATATTCAGACTACTCATGCCAAGGCGCAGCCATACTCAGACATTCCAACGTAGAGAACCCGACTCGTGCGCTCTGGTTCATTGACACGGAGACTCACTCACGTTCGACGTAGTCTTTTCTCACAACAAACTCATATTCGCGTTCATGTCTGGTTTAGGCCCACCAGGATTTAGCAAGCGTGGCATTTGGGCGCCCTATGGAGGAGCCGCCTGGGAGGGGGAGACTTGCTCGTGCGCGCCCACATTGTGGGGATGTATCGGGCGGTTTGCTTGGTTGGCCGATCAGACCTTGCCATTTTCAAAGCCTCGTGATCACCGCGGTACAGAAGCCGCGACCCTGGGGCACTCCAGGGAAGAACCGCTGGGGAGGAGCACACTTGCCCGTTCGCGCACATTTTCTGGGGATGTCCCGACCGGCTCACTCGCTTGGCGTTCCCGTACCTCCTTCCTTTCTCCTCCTCCTCCTCCTTCTCCCTTCCCGCCTGCTTCTCCCTACTCCCGCTGAGATCCTCGCAGATTCAGCTGGGCCATACTTGGACTCATGCGCACAGAACGCAGCCACATTCGGACTCGCTCGCACTCAGACCCGCCACGCTCAGACCACTCACATTCAGATGCGCGCAGAGCGTACCATTTGGGCGCCTCAAGGGGGGCCGCCAGGGAGCGTTACACTTGACAGCTTGCGGTCGGATTGTGGGGGCGACTTAAGCGAAACGCTGGTTTTGACACCCCCGACCACTTTCCTTTCCGAGCCCCAGGGTCGGGGGAGCCGCCAAGGGGCAGCACGTATCGACAGAGAGAAGACAACATACGGCGGCATATGTAAATAAGCATATTTTTTGTTTTCGCTATACATATATGTTCTCCACGCGAACACCCACCAACAACGAGAGAGAAACGAATGGATGCGCTTCCCCTCGAGGGGGCTATGACCGCACCCATTGAACAACAAAAACACGATTCTGTCGCAACTTGCTGTATGCGCCGGCCCTGGCGGACAAATCCCGCCTCCCCGAAACATATGAACACTAACAAAAGGAGCCACCCGTGATAATTATTGTCCGGGTGAGCGGTCGAGGAGTGCGGCCCGCAAGTCGGCGAACAAAGCCATGGCCCCGAAAATCGGCAATGGCCCGGGGCTCGGGCAGGACTAAAGAAAAACAATGGGGCGGAAATTCGGCTGGTTGCAACGATACGAATGCACCCGCGAAACGTATCAGCGCCGCGCCGGGAGTAAGGAGAGGCGAAGGAAGTAGAGGATGGAGGAGAAGGAGAAAAGAAAGAAGCGAATTAGACCGGGCCTCCAATCGAGTACGTTGGTACATCGACAATTGGCACACTGCCTACTGGAGACACCGAGTGGGGAGGACAAATCCTGCCCCCCTGCGAAAAACCAGAGGCCAGCAGAAGAAGGAAGGAGAGAAGGATGAGGATGAGGATGAGGATGAGGATGAGGATGAGGGGGAGGAGGGGAGGAGGAGGAAGAGGAGGAGGAGGAGGAGGAGGAGGAGGAGGAGGAGGAGGAGGAGGAGGAGGAGGAGGGGGGGGAGGAGGAGGAGGAGAATGAGGAGGAGGAGGAAGAGGAGGAGGAAGAGGAGGAGGAAGAAGAGGAGGAGGAGCAGGACGGCGACAGGTGACCTAGCGAGGGCTGGAAAACGCGGCAGCAGGTCACCGAGATTTCGGTGCAATCACAAAGGTTCCAAAAGCGCGGGTAGGTCACCTGCCGCGCCTGGACCTCGCGCGCCCCCCGCAGCGGCTTCGCCGGCCACCGGGCAGTCGTCGTCCTCATCGTCCTCGCGGCCCTCCTCTGCGGGTGCCGCCGCCGCCAGCTCGACGCCGCCGTCGCCCGAGCATGTGTGTGGACCATCGCCGCCGCCCGCGACCAGACGGCGACGGCGAAGTCCCGCGCCCAGCCACGCTCGGGCACCTCGGCGATAGCCACACCCCCACGCCAGGCCACGCGATGCGCGGCCTAGGTCAACATGTGTGTGGCGTCGGGATGGCGGCGGCGATAGGCGCTGAAGACGGCCTGGGTGTAACGGATGCCCTGGTCATCCTGTTCTGGCAGCACTGCGGCATACCGTTCGAGCTTCTGCCTCTTGTCTCCCCTGTGCAATCGAGGCCTGCGCCCGTCGCATTCGGTGATTTCACCATTACGTCGAGCGCCGTGGTCAAGCGGGCGTGAGCGGCTTCAGTCAGGCTGTCTGCTGGTCTCAGCACCGGCGCGGGCGGCGCCAGGCCTGGCACCTCGCACGCGGTTGTCGCGTCTGCCGCCGCGAACGGCACCATCAGGGCGTCCCACACACGGTAGTGGCTCTTTGTGGCCTCGCCGCGAGCTCAGCACAGCGCATGATAGCCCTGCCGGTCCAGCACGCGCTCTCCGCAAGCCGCGCAGAGCCTCTCCGTGGGGGCGAAAGCACACCCGAGGCGAATGTGCATGGCCGTCGGCCATCTGTCTTGTGCCACCACCGCTTCCCCAGCGGGGTTCAGAGACCGCATCCATGACTGTTCCTGGTGCGGGGGTTCAAATCATCGAGGGATCGACAATGTCTCACCTTTAGAGCGGGCGCCCGCGGCGAGACCGAGTGATTAGAGTCCTCGCCCATCAGCGCGTCCACGTCGAGCCTCGGCGCTCCTCTTCTCCGCGCGCGGCGGCGCCCCACCACTCCTGTGCCGAGCCTGCGCTGTCCTCCACCAGCGCCTTCCGTGCGAGCGCAGAAGGCGAAGGCGCCCGGGCGGGCGGGCGGTCAACCTCCGGAGGCGTTCGCGCACCAAGGCCCCCCTCGCGCGTGGCGAGAGGACAGGAGAGGACCGCGCACTTTTTGCGGCAGCGGCTAGGCGAAGTACCTGCGCTGGCGATGAGCCACCCAAACGGGGGTGCCGTTGTAGCGAATTGTGCCACCATGCAGGAGGAGGGGACAAGGCGGCCGAGAAAGGGGGCGGGAGGGGAGCGAGGCCGCTCAGGGGGACCGGTCACGCCCCGAGCGCGTGGCGCGGCCGGCCCCGCAGGACCAGGCACACTCGGACCGCACATGGCCAATCTTACTGTTGACCAATCTTACTGTTATCGCGCTCAGGACTCACGCTCAAGCGCTTACTGAAGCAGCGTGCCAGAACATGAGGTGCACATGCATGGATCCCTGTTCAGGCTTACTGCGTGGTGTGATGCCTCCGCCTTCAACTCTTTCCTCCCCCCGTCCATCTCCTTCCCCTCGTTAGGCTCACTCATAAAGCTACCCTCACTAATGCTCATTCGCGCTCGTACCAAGTCACAATTATATTCTATTCATGCTCAGACCCACTCGCACTACATAAGCGCTCACACCCACTCACCCTCAGGCTCACTCACACCCAGACGTACTCACACTGAGAGCCTCGTACGCAAACCCACGCCTCCCCACTCCCACTCAAAGACCCATGATTCATGTGATGATGTAGGAAGCATAGAATTGTGGCGACCCAACTGAAGAGTCGCCAGGGGGTATCTCACTTGCGCCCAGATTGTGGGGATGTCGAAAGCGAGGCGCTCGTTTTGCACCTCCGACTCCTCTCTTTCAAGGCGCCATGGCTACCGCGATGTGACAAACATCACATTTGGGCGCGCCAAAGGGGACAGCCGCCACAGGGACCTCGCGGGCTCGTTCGCGCCCAGATTGTGGGGATGTCGAAAGCGAGGCGCTCGTTTTGTACCTCCGACTCCTCTCCTTTCGAAGCCCATTGATTCCCGCGACGTAGCAAGCATCGCATTCAAGCAGCCCAGCGAGGAGCCGCCAAGGGGTCACCTGCTGCTGCGGCGCACACATCGGGATCGGCCGCGGCCAGCCACCGCTCACGGCCGCAGTCGGCCGGCTTCGGCGGCCGCGGCTCCTGCTGGCGCTGCACGACCATCACCCGGGACACGGCTCCGTACCGGGAGAAGTGGCTCTTCAGCTTCTGCTCGGCCTGCTAGGGTGCCAGCCCGCAAAGGGGGGGTCAGGGGGGAGGAGGAGGAGAGGAGGAGGACCAGTGGAAACCCAAGAGTCATCAACGATGTTGGCATTCACCCTCCCTCCAAGTTCCCTCTTCATAGGCCTCTACAACGGTTCATTTCCATTGAGGGAACTGCCTCGTTGGAAGACAACAGTTTGAAGATCCAGAAGCGTACCAAAACATTGTTCTCTGGATTTCACGCCACGTATCAACCTGTCTGCTGCGTCTTGACGATCCAGAACCGTGCCAGAACGCCATTTTTGGGACTTCAACACAGCGAATCAACAGAACTGTAGCGCCCGCATAACCCAGAATCCTTCCAAAACACCGTTTCTGGTACGTTGATCATGGGAAACCGTGAAACTCTGGCGAATTTTACAAACGAATGTGCGCTGCGCTACAGCGAGAGCCACATTTTGAAAAGGAACCGCCCTCAATCCGTGAAACTCTGAAACCGAATGTGCGCGGCGCTCAGGCGAGAGCCACATGTTGAAAACCACCCGCCCTTAATCCGTGAAGCTCTTGCAATTTTTTAGAACGAATGTGCGCGGCGCTACGGCAAGAACCGCATCTTGAAAAGGAACCGCCCTCAATCCGTGAAAATTTTGCAAATTCTTGGAACGAATGTACTCGGCGCTAAGGCGAGAGCCACATTTTGAAAACCACCCGCCCTCAATTCGTGAAACTCTTGCAAATTTTTAGAACGAATGTGCGCGGCGCTACGGCGAGAGCCACATATTGAAAACGACCCGCCCTCCATCTGTGAAACTGTTCACTTTTTTTAAGCTGCAGAATCATAGATTGTGAGGAAGTCTCAAGCGAAACGCCCGGCCCGCCCTAAAAACTGGACTCGGGGTGCGACAGGGAGGAGTTATCCAGAAGGAAAAGGAATGGAGGAGGAGGATGAGGATGAGGAGGAGGCAGAGGAGGAGGAGGAGAAGGAGGAGGAGGAGAAGGACAAGGAGGAGGAGGAGGAGGGGGAGGATCCGAGCGTAGCAGAAGAGCGGGGTGCCCACTGGACAAAGCAGGCGAAATCGGCAAACACATACGAAGAGAGCGGAATGCCGCCAAGACTGCCGACCGGAGATCATTCGGAGAGATGGGACTATGCAACAAGCTGAGCGTGTGATAGGCATGAAATGCGATGGCGGCCGCTTCGACGACGTTGACCTTCGGAACCAGGACAGCCCATCGCGTGAGAGGACAATGAAGGGTAAGGTCACGACCGAGGACAGACGAGAGAGCCCAGCACAGCTGCGGACAGCTAGCATGATGGCACTGGCGGTCGGGATAAATCATACCGCCGAGTATGCACGCCTTGCGACACCCTGGTGTCATGATCCGGTATGACCGAGGAGGAGGGGGAGGAGGAGGAGGAGGAGGTGCAAGAATCTGACGGAAAAGACACGTACGATGGACGATGCTTGTGGTGATCATACTGACGATCTTCATGGCGTAGTCGCGTGGAGCGATATGCGCATCTCTCTCTGCACATCTATATATATATATATGTGCACATGCAAATATATGGATTTATGGTGCCATCTCTCTCTCTCTCTCTCTTTCTACCTCTCTTCATGTCTGCATGCGTCCCGACAATTACACTATGCACATCTATATGTATTATTTATTCAAACATATATTTACATGTATATATATGAATGAGATCATACATACTATTAGCACACACGCACACATCTATACCCTATTCTAGATGCCACATGCCATACGCCGTATACATATTTATTACTCAGCTATATGCACCGATGTGCCTGCTTAAATCTTAAACCGTTGTATGAAGCAAAACTCAAGCAATACAATGTAACGCTGATGAGCTGTCCACACAAGCGTTCGTATGGAATTTCACGCCGCGGGCCGCTCTTTCCTGCTTCTGGGGCCCGCAGCGTGCAATGCCCAAGCTTGGATCGGCTGGTCGCCCTGGGTTTCTCAAGTTGCCGGTGGTCCGGGGATCGTGCCGGGTGGCTGCGAAGTCTACTTCGCAGGGCCCGAGCACTGCGGCGCCTCGTGCGGGGGCGTGAGGCACACTCGAGGCCCGCGGGGGCCGCGGCTTCGACAAGTGGAGGAGACAAGCCTCAGGACCCCAAGCGGGAACCACGTAGAGAAGAGGATGGCGGGATGACGCGGGCTCGTGGCGAAGCAAAATGGCAAAACATTTCAGTCTTGAAAATCCGCGCAGATTTCCTGGGTCGGCGTTGGGGCCTCTTGGCGACGCGGACCGGTGCCGACACAAAATATCTGCGCTTACCTAAGACAACTTAAGTTGATGCCATTCTTGTTCCTCCAGGATTGAGAGGGCTCAAGAAGTCTGGTGAGCCAGAAAGAGAGAGAGAGAGAGAGAGAGCAATACAGAGAGACATACATATATATATATATATATATGTATAGAGAGAGAGAGAGAGAGAGAGAGAGAGAGAGAGAGAGAGAGAGAGAAAGAGAGAGAGAGAGAGAAAAAGAGAAAGAGAAAGAGAGAGAGCGACAGAAGGCAAGAGAGAGAGAGAAATATATATAAACAAAGCATGACAGAGAGGGAGAGAGAGAGAGGAAACCACATGGAGAGACACAGCGAACCACACAATCTCCGAGGCCGCAAAATATCAGACTCGGCTGCTGTGCAGATGTCTCAGCCAGGGCCCGCGCTCGCTTGCGGGCGACCGCCCGCCGGGGGGAAACCTTTCGGACCATTCGACCCATCACAAACATCGTGCAGAGAGGGGGATGGGGGAAGGGGAGGCCACAGACGGACTCGCAAAACCACCGCGCAGAAACTCCTTTTACGTCGAATGGCAGAACGGGTCCGTCGGCGGAAGGAAGAGGGAGATGATCAGAACTACGCCCGTTGTGCCGCGCCAAGATCTCGGTCTCGGTCAATGCGCGCTGGACGGCAGTTGGCACGCCCTCGCGACGAGGAAAGAGCCCTTGTCTAATTCTAGCCAGATTCTCGCGTCCCTTACGCGATGGCCCACGTTGCGCCGCGAGTTGGCGCCCATCCGCCGTGGCGGAACGCCCGCAAGGCGAGCAAACCGTCGGTAGAAATCAGTCGCACAGCTGGTGTGTGTGTGTGTGTGTGTGTGAAGGTGGGGAGTTCTGCCAACGACTCGCTCCGCTCCCGCCTCCGCCACGATCTCGACGCGATCGGGGAGGCTTTTGCAGAGCGTCGCGGCGACGCCCACGATCTTGCCCTGTGGCGCCAACAAAAGGGCAACGGCCGCCCTTCCGTCTGGCACCATCAGTGGAAAACTCGTGGGATGAACTCTGGATGGCCAGCTTGATTGCGGATGGCGCTGGCGCTCGCTCCCGGCGCTGCTGCTCCCCGCTCCATGGGTCGGCGGCCGCGGCTCACGCTGGTGCCTTCTCTGTTCGAGCTCTGACTAGGGTGCCGACCGCATCCTATTGGTCAGCGTATGGCTCCCCCAAACGAACCGACACCCGCCGCCCTTCCGCAGAGGCCAACCCCGCTTGATGAGGCGGGGGTGTCTTCACTACCAGCCATGTGGGACGGGGCCCGATTCATATCGACCTCTCCAGGCCGCCCCAGGAAAGCGACTTGGATCCGAGGCTGCAAATCCTAACTTGCACCATTCTTCTGGTAGGCTTTGCCACCGTTCCAAGCCTTGACCAAGGGCCCGTGATGGGTGACAAAGAGCATTGGGGCAACCACGTTTCCTAAAGGGAGGAGAAATCGTAACGAGGTTTCCATAGGTGAGCCAGCGGAAGCATCAATCGAACGCATCTATTCGAATCATTGTGAATAACAGTTGGTGCGGCTCTGGGTGGGAATGCAGATCGCATCGATGCCCCCGTGCAGAGACTCAATCAACGCTGATGCAATCGCGAGCAGTTCTGAGCGCGGGGCCGTTTGCCGTCAGCCTCCGAGGGTGGCAGAAGGGCCTCCAGCCAACTCCCAGCCCCCTTGACCATGAGCTCTCAACCTGGCAATGACAGCGCCGCGCCTTCGCCGCCGAAAACCCGAACTCTGAGACCCCCCGCCCGACCCGTCACCGAAAACGACAACGCGCCCGTGCTCCAGGTGGGGTAAAGACTCGGCGATCGGGATGGGGACGGGGATCTCCAGCTCCTCCTCGGGAAATCTTGGCGGGTGCGCGTGAGAAGCGTGCGTGCTGCGCCGGGGCCGCGACGCTGGACATTGCGCGTGCTGGGCCTCAGCATGGCCACTGACAAGACAGGACAAGACAGGAAGTCTGCGCGCCAGCTCCGGTAGCCGGAGCGGCCCCCCAAGGGGCAGGCCGCGCGCGTGCGATCGGGAAAAACAGATATTGATGAGACAGGCAACTGGGCGAACCCACGTATTCAACGAATCCACCCATCTCAGACGCTGCCTGCCAACAGATCGTTTGGTGTCCGTTCTGAACTATGGCTTCCAATGCACATGGCCGCTTGCACCGCTTCTGTTCTGGAGCCAGGAAGACGCGGGCGGCCAGCAATGCTTTGCGATTGCGCTCAAGGTCAACCCAGCTCTTGATGTTAGCTTTTGTGCAATAGCACGACCTCCGTGGAACGCCGGATGTTATTGTCGCGCGACTCCGTGACGCCCCTTGTTGTCCGGAACATGCTGCGAAGCATCTTCGTCCTCGCAATTTCTAAATATGTCCCTGGAGGAAGAATCGAAAGTCCAGCGCTCGCTCCCATGCAGCGCAGCTGGCGTGACAACGCCCCCGATCAGGCGTAGCCGTTTCCGCAGCGTGTGCGACCGCGAACGCAGCATATGCTTGAATTTGGCGAATGCTCTCCACGCCAAAGATAAACGGTGTGTAAACTCCACGTCGCGTTAATCATGCAGCGACAGTTGGCGGCCCAAGTACCGCTCTGACTTCTCCTGCTTCGAGATTTCAACGCTCTCGCCAGACACCTGCGCCGATATGGGAACAGTCGGTGTGGTATTTGCCGAGATCTTCGTTTTTCTAACATGCGCTGCCGGGCCGTATTTCGCAACC